TTCTATAGTTTGTCATTTCATGTTATTTATTATCCTCAAATTCAAGAATCTTGCAATTTCAAAGCAAAATCCCAAAAATCCTACGAATTAATAAAGCACACAGACACAAGTACATAATTGTGTATGAATTTGTGCTTAGGAATTTGCCATGCATAGGAATTGGTAGGGATAAGTCACTGTTGAAGGGCCTCAAGGATTTTTTTGTGCTCTAGTTGGTGGGTTTTTGGTGGGGTGGGTGTGGTGGAAGAGAGAGACCAAGAGAAAGGGAGAGGGGAAGAAGAGGAGGAGAGAGAAGGGGAGGGAGACATACCTGGTTGGTATTGACTGCTCCTCGTCAATTACATTGAATCGATGGCATCGTGGATGTTGTTGGTGTTGAGTGAGTGTGGGTAGCTGGTGATACGGTGAAGAGAGAAGATAGTGGGGGCGAAGAGAAAAGAGAGAGAAGCAGCGGTTGTGCTGTTGTAGATGGTGAATGATGGTAGAAGATAGAGGTGAGGGAGAGTCAAAGCAGCTGTGTTGTTGCAGACGGTGAAGACCGAAGAGAGAAGAGAGAGGTGAGGGAGAGGAGAAAAGACAAGAAAGAAGATAGAAGAGAGAGGAGCCTGTGAGAAAGTAAAGCATAGAAAAGAGAGGGGTGGGTGAGGAACCTAGGAAGGAAAGAGTGTGAGAGAGATGCTGGACTGAGAACGAGAAAGCATGTGATTGAGGGTCGCCAAATATGGAAACTAAAGGTGGGAAAAAAGATTTCGGTAGTCAATTTGGTCTATTAGGTTAATTCCGAAACTATAGCTTCAGTAAGTTGCCATACAGATGAAGCATAGCATTTTATATGACATGGTTCTTCCCCCTGGCAAGGCGTAGCTATGTAGCAAAATGAAATTTAATCCAATGCTAGAGAAAGACCATTAGTGTTTAATGAGGATGTGTATATATGTGAACTACTGATTGATTTTCTTGTAATACATTATCGAGAGTTCCCTTTTTTCCCTTCACAATTATTCTGGGAATGATAATCGGTCAGCTTGTAGATTAAACATAGGAATACTTTATTGTGGTGCACTTTTATTTTCTTTTTGGTTTTCCCCTTAAAATTTTGAATATTTCTTGCTTTGCTAATTGTGAAATATTAATGAGCATTCACTGCAAACTTTGCTATGCCATATTTTGTTAGTGTGTTTATGATTTTAACACAGTGACAGGGATGTGGGAGAAAGTTATGATTTGATACATCTTCTCTTCTTTTACTGCACTCTTCCTCGTGTTTTTCTTGTTTCTTTGAAGGTAGGACTTTTTTGTTGACCAAAAACCTAAGCTCTCTTTTAGTTCCTATTTTGTGTGTGTGTGATTATTCAAGTAGTTATATTTTATTGCAGATATGGATGCATGCGGATCAAAGCCATACTGGTTACCTTGGTCGTCAGGAATTTTATAATGCTCTTAAACTTGTAACTGTTGCACAGAGTAAGCGCGAATTAACACCAGATATTGCGAACGCGGCCTTATATGGCCCAGCCTCAGCCAAAATCCCTGCTCCGCAGATTAATCTTGCAACTATCTCAGTGCCTCTGTCAAATCAAGTGGCTGCTGCATCTGTGCCTCAGATGGGCACAGTTGCACCAATGGCTACTCAAAATTTTGGAGTCAGAGGGCAAGTACCTACAAATGCAAGTATGAACCAGCAGTATTTCCCATCTCAAGGAAGTCAGGCAGTGAGGCCACCTCTTTCCATGCCTACTGGTTCTGCGTCACGTCTACAGGGTGTTGGAGGTCCAGATTTCCCTAGGGGAGCTAGTATGGTGGGCCCTGGTCTTCCAAACTCAAACATTTCAAGTGACTGGTTTGGTGGAAGAACTGGTGGAGCTTCTACTGGAGCAACATCACAAGTCCCTAACAGAGGAATTAGTCCCTCAATTGCCACAGTTTCACCAAAACCACAAGATCCACTTTCAACCTCTTCCTCAATGGCAGCCAGAGATCCTAAAGCACCGCTTGGTTCCGGAAATGGATTTGCCTCTGACCAAATGTTTGGGGGTGATGTGTTTTCCGCCACCCAGTCTTTACCCAAGCAAGTTTATTCTGGACCAACATATTCTGCGAGTAGTGCACTTGTCTCTTCAGCCATTGTTCCAACAACTGGTGGACCCATGTCTTCGGTTAAGCCTGACCCATTTGAATTATTACCGAGTAGTCTTACGAGGCAATCTACGGGAAATCAGATTCAGCCGGCCCTGTCATTATCGAAACCAAACCAACAGGTTTCAGGTCAAAGTGCTTCCACTCTTGCGTCATCTGGAATGATAGCTGAGGTTAGTAATTCTACTTCCAACCAATCCCAGCATCCATGGCCAAAAATGACTCGTGCTGGCGTTCAGAAGTATATGAAAGTGTTTCTGGAAGTAGACACTGATAGAGATGGGAAAATCACTGGTGAGCAGGCACGCAATCTGTTCCTGAGTTGGAGACTGCCAAGAGGTAAAAATTGTTTTGTTTGATTTAGCTTCGTTCTTCATGCAATTATATTATATTGGCTGATATTGACACTTGGCTGCTCTGCATTCTTTTCTTTTCCTCTGCAATGCCAGTGTTGATGGAAAAGATGCATTTACCATATGATGTGTGGCAATCAACATGTAATACCTTTTCTTAGTTGAACATTAAATAGTTAATTTTGTGTTGAACTTGGACCTTTGTCTGTGGTGACAGCCTCATAAGGGATCGTAAATTATTTTTCAATTGTATGGACTAGTATTGTTTGAATCAAATATGATTAGTGTTTTGAGCATCCAAATTATCCCGTGAAACCCTTTTGATGCATAAGATGCTCAAAGAAATATAAATTGAAAGATGTGACAAACTATGAAATTTGGTTTGCTATCAAGACATAGGCTGACATGGAACCTTACATAATCATATTTGAGTCCTATTTTTCAATTACTTTGAGTTAACTAGCTGATATTTTTGTTTTACATTTTTTAGAGTGGGTATATGTAATTTTTAGATTTGCTTGAATGGGTCATGGTATGACCCGTGGATTATCTTTTGGGTCAAATTTTAGTGTTGGATGTTCTCTTTGGTAAGATTATGAGATACTTGGAGGTCTATATATATAGAGATATAATGCTTTAATTTAATGGAGGGATATTTTTCAGAATTTTCAGCAATGATTTATTTTATGCTTTTAGGATTGTATGATGCAATTCAAAACCTTGGGTGTGATGTCTATGGAATTCTAGGAATGATTCTTAGCTTTTCTTTTTCTTCTTTTCTTCTCTTTACTATCCATGTTCTAAACACCTTTATATATAGTCATAGTTATACCCTTAAACGTAATCTACAAACTCCTCTACCTTTCTCTTTCAATTTATCTTATGCTAATACACAAGTTGACACAATGATACACTAAAATATTGTTCACTGTTACTGTTCACAGATCATAAGGCGTGCTATTTTTTGGGTTCATCGTTGTCTTGCATCACCATTTCCTTATTTTTTCCTTTAAAATAATGGTCAAAATTATAGTGTATTAGAATGCACATTGTCTCTTGCATAAATTTTGGAGTGGTCTAATCACTTGATTGGAAGTATACTTATCTTTTCATGGCTAAGAAGCACGTACACTTCATTTGTTCAGAATGTTGGTGTCTGACACTTCTAAGACATGGACACATTAAAATGAGTGTCCGATTATTTTTTTGTTATTTTTTTTTAGGACACGTTTTAGACACGTTAAGGACACGCGACCTACACGCTGGGGACATGTTGAGGACAAGCAACTGACATGCTATGGTTCACCAAAGTCTAATCCACTATTCGTTAAGTCAACATACAAGTATTCGAGTTTTATATCTTAACCATCACCATGACTACATGCTCCTTTCCTTACTATGTCTTTTCGTCGAAACTCCCTCTCCGATGTCCGGTGTGGTTTCACTTGAATCTCTCCGCCGCATGGTTCGTCTAGGTCTCGAGCGATTATGAGCATGCCAACAATCCTCAATATGCACACACTAATAGGTTTGTTCACCAACAAGCTCTTCTACTTCAAGGTATAACGATGAAAAGAATCACTAGTGGCAACCTTTAGATCTTAGGAATCTAGGTTATGGTAGAAGCCCTTAATGTTGAAAAATAGATTTCTCTCTTCAAAATATTCTCTTCAGGCTTGACGTAGATGTGAGAAAGACTATCCCTATTTATAGGTTCAGAANAACAAGTGAATATACTATATTATTCTCCTCACGAAAGTTTATTTGAAATAATGAATGAGTACCACTTTAATATAGGCTTAAAATCGACCAAAAATTCAATTTTTACACTTAAAAAACTATTTTGATCCAACAATTTTCTAATATTTGATTGTGTATATATAAACTATGTTGATATTGCTACAATTTTCTAATATTTGATTGTGTGTTTATATAAACTATGTTGATATCGCTGCAACTTTGAATATATGGTTACAATGAATTTTATATCTAACAATCACGTACAACTCTGCCCAGGTACGTGAACAGGGACTAACGTCACCAGCTGCTAGCGGTTCCCGACCCAGATTGTGGCGTACGAACCGGCACTGTATTGTTCCAAAAAAAAAAAAAAAAAACCGGCACCGTGCAGGTAGCGATATTTGCAAATTCACTAGAAAATGGGGGTCATTGTGTAAAACCTCATAAAATGGAAACATAATGGTCAATAAGCTCCTCTGTTCCATAAGATCTCCATTCCTTTTACGAACGGTGAAGACAACATAATGCCACATCTAATTCACTGATGATAATAGTTGATTTATTTTGTACTCCACTCCTTAAACCTCAAAATTTCTTCAAATTCTACAAATCCCAAAGCATTTGTGTCGGCTCTTGTCGATCTAACCCCCAATATTCATTTGGTTTTAGTTGTTGCTGATTTGTGGTTTGAGTTTGAGGTGATAAAATGTTTTGATCTGCGAGTATTTTGGTGAAATTCCTTGCTGTCAAGTCGATCAAGGACGGGCTAATATGGAGCAATTCGAAGGTTACTTTCAGAGAGCAGATACGGATCGGGATGGGAGAATCAGTGGAGCTGAAGCTGTTGCTTTCTTTCAAGGATCCAACTTATCTAAGCAAGTACTTGCTCAGGTGTGTAAATATATCCGTTTAGTTTGTTTAAATCATATTTTATCTTTGAATGATGCTGTATGTGTTTAAATGTGAAAATGATCGATTCTTTTCTGATGCTAAGTGAATGTTTTATTTTGCCTTTTTTGATCCGAGGAATGAAATCTGGCTAGGTATCTCTGGATTCCTGGTTTTCAAGGGAATTTAGAAGCCAGATTATGAAAATTAGGATTCTCAATTGTTGTTTGAGGGAATCTAGTTGCAACCCAAAAAGGGTCATTGGATGGTTAGATCTCGTTAATCTAGAGTGCTGGGAAGGGTGGATTGACACAGAAGCATTATTTCCTAAGAGTGAGGGCATCCACAACCTCATGATTATTACACTGGTAATCATGTATAGTTTCCTAAATGGAGAAAAACCCTATTAACCGAACATAGCAAGTAAAGAAATATTGTTATTGTGGCTAATTGCTTTTCTTTATCGAGAAAGAAAACATATGGTTGTCTGCCTGTCAATCTTAGAGATATTATGAATATTTGATATCTTTGTTATGATGGTCAATTGCTTGTCATGGGATTGCTGGAATTGGGCATTTTGAGACAATCCCATCCAGCCATTTTGGTATACTAGTGTTGGACCCCTGTCAAAAGGCACTGTATAATACAAAAACACCAATTAAAAATAAAAATTGGAACAACTTACTACACCACAATATTGAGTACAAGAAGCAGTAGGAAATAAGTCAACAAAATGAAATGATATCATTACTATAGAACATTCTCATAATAAATGGTATGCCATGAAACATCCGGAAATATGACGAGCAACCCCTTTTGTTGCTGTGAAGCATAAAGTGAACAACAACCTATATACTAAATGCAGCACCAACAACATCTTGTCGCACAATTTGACCAACATAAAGATCATACCATACACAACTATTTTGTTCAAGGAGGTCTAAATAGCTAGCAAGTACAGGCATGTCATCTCTAGCCCATACACATTACAGCTCTTTCAAACTTGTAGAATGTAGAATACAACCAAACACATACTAAATTCAACACAAATAAAGAAAAATGAAGAATGAAAACCTATAACTAAAAAGATTTGAAATCTCATAAAAAGTAGAAGTAAAATTACTTAGGATGTGAAAGTAATCGTATTACCATTGATCAAAAAATAATAAGGTGAACCTCTCTTTAAGTCCGAGTTGCATTAATTAAAAAAAATAGAATCCAAATCCACTAATCAACAGTGTTGTGAAAAGCAAGCCTAGGCTAGAAGCGAGCCTTGATCGCCTTGAATAGCTCAGGTGAAGTGAGGTTGAGTAAAGTGGCGCGCCTAGGGGACGAAGCAAAGAAGCGAGTCAATTGAGAAAAACGAACGTCTAATTGTATTTTTTTTATTTTTTCCTTNGAAAAGCAAGCCTAGGCTAGAAGCGAGCCTTGATCGCCTTGAATAGCTCAGGTGAAGCGAGGTTGAGTAAAGTGGCGCGCCTAGGGGACGAAGCAAAGAAGCGAGTCAATTGAGAAAAACGAACATCTAAGTGTATTTTTTTTATTTTTTCCTCCTTCTTGTTTAACATTAACCAATTTATTAATGCTCTATGTAGTGGTGATATTAATCAATCACGGTGGGACTTGAACCCACATTTGCGATCTATAAAGGTTAGCACGTCTTTCCATTTAGACAACACGGTTATTTCAACTAATTTTTTTTTTCCACTTGATTCAAAAACCATAGGCCTTGAATTATGAACTAGAACGCAAAAGAGAATTTTTATTCAATCATGGATAGGATTTAAAAATCATCTAGGTAATTGATATGGTAATCAGTCTTATTATGATTAGATGATGTTGAATATTATGCTCTAGTTAATCAATATTTTTGGTTAATCAATTTGGTATTTGCTTTATTTGATTAATTAATTTGTGAGTGTTCTGTCTAATGGTGATATTAATCAATCACGGTGGCAGTCGAAGAACCCACATTTGCTATCTATAAAGGCTAGCGTCTTTCCATTTATAGATTGCATGGTCATGTCAATTAATTATTTTTAGAATGCAATAATATTCAATATTTAATATCTTGTCTATTTAAAATGTGCAGATGTTTATTATTTTGGTTACATTTAAATATTTTGTATTTGTAAAGTTAAAACTTGAATATGTAGGAGTAATCAAAGTATCAAATTAAAATATTTTTTTATTTTTTATATTGTTCACTTTGCTTCAATGAAGCGCTCACTTCGCTTCTCGCTTTTCTCTTAAGCCTCAGGAGATAGGTTCGCTTTACGGCTTCTACACTAAATGCAGCACCGACAACATGTTGTTACACAATTTGATCAGCATGAAGACCATAACATACACAACTATTTTGTTCAAGGAGGTCTAAATAGCTAGCAAGTACGGGCATGTCATCTGTAGCCCATACACATTACAGCGCTTTCAAACTTGTAGAATGTAGAATACAACCAACACACATACTAAATTCAACACAAATAAAGAAAAATGAAGAATGAAAACCTATAACTCAAAAGATTTGAAATCTCATAAAAAGTAGAAGTAAAATAACTTTGGATGTGAAAGTAATTGTACCATTGATCAAAAAATAGTAAGGTGTACCTCTCCTTAAGTCTGAGTCGAATTAATTAAACAAAAAAAGAATCCAAACCCACTCTTCACCTATTCATATTAGTTACCACTATTCTTATTACTTCTAACACCATTAGCATATTCATCTTTTCTATTCTATCCCGCCAATATCTTGCACTATTTTCATTGCCTCAACACCATCTTGGTCAATATTCACACCAATCCAATAAAACCAAATAGTCTAGAGTTCCACTTAAATAATAAGAAAAATGGGTGGTTGCAACGAACATAGAGCTTATCAATGCATAAAAAATACATTGCGAGACTAGAAAAACACAACACCATAGTTGTTGCTAATGCACAAAATCTCAGACGCCTCATTAGTTGGAGTTTCTAGTAGATAGTGATCCATACCTAAGCATTTGTCAAATTAAAGCAAAATGTCTCAAATGAAATATTAGTTCTTTTCCACTTTCTTTTGTAATTCTATAGTTTGTCATTTCATGTTATTTATTATCCTCAAATTCAAGAATCTTGCAATTTCAAAGCAAAATCCCAAAAATCCTACGAATTAATAAAGCACACAGACACAAGTACATAATTGTGTATGAATTTGTGCTTAGGAATTTGCCATGCATAGGAATTGGTAGGGATAAGTCACTGTTGAAGGGCCTCAAGGATTTTTTTGTGCTCCAGTTGGTGGGTTTTTGGTGGGGTGGGTGTGGTGGAAGAGAGAGACCAAGAGAAAGGGAGAGGGGAAGAAGAGGAGGAGAGAGAAGGGGAGGGAGACATACCTGGTTGGTATTGACTGCTCCTCGTCAATTACATCGAATCGATGGCATCGTGGATGTTGGTGGTGTTGAGTGAGTGTGGGTAGCTGGTGATACGGTGAAGAGAGAAGATAGTGGGGGCGAAGAGAAAAGAGAGAGGAGCAGCGGTTGTGCTGTTGTAGATGGTGAATGATGGTAGAAGATAGAGGTGAGGGAGAGTCAAAGCAGCTGTGTTGTTGCAGACGGTGAAGACCGAAGAGAGAAGAGAGAGGTGAGGGAGAGGAGAAAAGACAAGAAAGAAGATAGAAGAGAGAGGAGCCTGTGAGAAAGTAAAGCATAGAAAAGAGAGGGGTGGGTGAGGAACCTAGGAAGGAAAGAGTGTGAGAGAGATGCTGGACTGAGAACGAGAAAGCATGTGATTGAGGGTCGCCAAATATGGAAACTAAAGGTGGGAAAAAAGATTTCGGTAGTCAATTTGGTCTATTAGGTTAATTCCGAAACTATAGCTTCAGTAAGTTGCCATACAGATGAAGCATAGCATTTTATATGACATGGTTCTTCCCCCTGGCAAGGCGTAGCTATGTAGCAAAATGAAATTTAATCCAATGCTAGAGAAAGACCATTAGTGTTTAATGAGGATGTGTATATATGTGAACTACTGATTGATTTTCTTGTAATACATTATCGAGAGTTCCCTTTTTTCCCTTCACAATTATTCTGGGAATGATAATCGGTCAGCTTGTAGATTAAACATAGGAATACTTTATTGTGGTGCACTTTTATTTTCTTTTTGGTTTTCCCCTTAAAATTTTGAATATTTCTTGCTTTGCTAATTGTGAAATATTAATGAGCATTCACTGCAAACTTTGCTATGCCATATTTTGTTAGTGTGTTTATGATTTTAACACAGTGACAGGGATGTGGGAGAAAGTTATGATTTGATACATCTTCTCTTCTTTTACTGCACTCTTCCTCGTGTTTTTCTTGTTTCTTTGAAGGTAGGACTTTTTTGTTGACCAAAAACCTAAGCTCTCTTTTAGTTCCTATTTTGTGTGTGTGTGATTATTCAAGTAGTTATATTTTATTGCAGATATGGATGCATGCGGATCAAAGCCATACTGGTTACCTTGGTCGTCAGGAATTTTATAATGCTCTTAAACTTGTAACTGTTGCACAGAGTAAGCGCGAATTAACACCAGATATTGCGAACGCGGCCTTATATGGCCCAGCCTCAGCCAAAATCCCTGCTCCGCAGATTAATCTTGCAACTATCTCAGTGCCTCTGTCAAATCAAGTGGCTGCTGCATCTGTGCCTCAGATGGGCACAGTTGCACCAATGGCTACTCAAAATTTTGGAGTCAGAGGGCAAGTACCTACAAATGCAAGTATGAACCAGCAGTATTTCCCATCTCAAGGAAGTCAGGCAATGAGGCCACCTCTTTCCATGCCTACTGGTTCTGCGTCACGTCTACAGGGTGTTGGAGGTCCAGATTTCCCTAGGGGAGCTAGTATGGTGGGCCCTGGTCTTCCAAACTCAAACATTTCAAGTGACTGGTTTGGTGGAAGAACTGGTGGAGCTTCTACTGGAGCAACATCACAAGTCCCTAACAGAGGAATTAGTCCCTCAATTGCCACAGTTTCACCAAAACCACAAGATCCACTTTCAACCTCTTCCTCAATGGCAGCCAGAGATCCTAAAGCACCGCTTGGTTCCGGAAATGGATTTGCCTCTGACCAAATGTTTGGGGGTGATGTGTTTTCCGCCACCCAGTCTTTACCCAAGCAAGTTTATTCTGGACCAACATATTCTGCGAGTAGTGCACTTGTCTCTTCAGCCATTGTTCCAACAACTGGTGGACCCATGTCTTCGGTTAAGCCTGACCCATTTGAATTATTACCGAGTAGTCTTACGAGGCAATCTACGGGAAATCAGATTCAGCCGGCCCTGTCATTATCGAAACCAAACCAACAGGTTTCAGGTCAAAGTGCTTCCACTCTTGCGTCATCTGGAATGATAGCTGAGGTTAGTAATTCTACTTCCAACCAATCCCAGCATCCATGGCCAAAAATGACTCGTGCTGGCGTTCAGAAGTATATGAAAGTGTTTCTGGAAGTAGACACTGATAGAGATGGGAAAATCACTGGTGAGCAGGCACGCAATCTGTTCCTGAGTTGGAGACTGCCAAGAGGTAAAAATTGTTTTGTTTGATTTAGCTTCGTTCTTCATGCAATTATATTATATTGGCTGATATTGACACTTGGCTGCTCTGCATTCTTTTCTTTTCCTCTGCAATGCCAGTGTTGATGGAAAAGATGCATTTACCATATGATGTGTGGCAATCAACATGTAATACCTTTTCTTAGTTGAACATTAAATAGTTAATTTTGTGTTGAACTTGGACCTTTGTCTGTGGTGACAGCCTCATAAGGGATCGTAAATTATTTTTCAATTGTATGGACTAGTATTGTTTGAATCAAATATGATTAGTGTTTTGAGCATCCAAATTATCCCGTGAAACCCTTTTGATGCATAAGATGCTCAAAGAAATATAAATTGAAAGATGTGACAAACTATGAAATTTGGTTTGCTATCAAGACATAGGCTGACATGGAACCTTACATAATCATATTTGAGTCCTATTTTTCAATTACTTTGAGTTAACTAGCTGATATTTTTGTTTTACATTTTTTAGAGTGGGTATATGTAATTTTTAGATTTGCTTGAATGGGTCATGGTATGACCCGTGGATTATCTTTTGGGTCAAATTTTAGTGTTGGATGTTCTCTTTGGTAAGATTATGAGATACTTGGAGGTCTATATATATAGAGATATAATGCTTTAATTTAATGGAGGGATATTTTTCAGAATTTTCAGCAATGATTTATTTTATGCTTTTAGGATTGTATGATGCAATTCAAAACCTTGGGTGTGATGTCTATGGAATTCTAGGAATGATTCCTAGCTTTTCTTTTTCTTCTTTTCTTCTCTTTACTATCCATGTTCTAAACACCTTTATATATAGTCATAGTTATACCCTTAAACGTAATCTACAAACTCCTCTACCTTTCTCTTTCAATTTATCTTATGCTAATACACAAGTTGACACAATGATACACTAAAATATTGTTCACTGTTACTGTTCACAGATCATAAGGCGTGCTATTTTTTGGGTTCATCGTTGTCTTGCATCACCATTTCCTTATTTTTTCCTTTAAAATAATGGTCAAAATTATAGTGTATTAGAATGCACATTGTCTCTTGCATAAATTTTGGAGTGGTCTAATCACTTGATTGGAAGTATACTTATCTTTTCATGGCTAAGAAGCACGTACACTTCATTTGTTCAGAATGTTGGTGTCTGACACTTCTAAGACATGGACACATTAAAATGAGTGTCCGATTATTTTTTTGTTATTTTTTTTTAGGACACGTTTTAGACACGTTAAGGACACGCGACCTACACGCTGGGGACATGTTGAGGACAAGCAACTGACATGCTATGGTTCACCAAAGTCTAATCCACTATTCGTTAAGTCAACATACAAGTATTCGAGTTTTATATCTTAACCATCACCATGACTACATGCTCCTTTCCTTACTATGTCTTTTCGTCGAAACTCCCTCTCCGATGTCCGGTGTGGTTTCACTTGAATCTCTCCGCCGCATGGTTCGTCTAGGTCTCGAGCGATTATGAGCATGCCAACAATCCTCAATATGCACACACTAATAGGTTTGTTCACCAACAAGCTCTTCTACTTCAAGGTATAACGATGAAAAGAATCACTAGTGGCAACCTTTAGATCTTAGGAATCTAGGTTATGGTAGAAGCCCTTAATGTTGAAAAATAGATTTCTCTCTTCAAAATATTCTCTTCAGGCTTGACGTAGATGTGAGAAAGACTATCCCTATTTATAGGTTCAGAATAAGGGTAGTCTTAGTAAATAAAAAGAATTCAAATTTGCGAAAAATCATTTGATTAGTTGTTGGGGGGGGGGGGGCGGTCATAGGGCAGTTGGTATTGGAGTGAAACACGTTTTAAACTAGCTAAGGACCATGACCGCTCGAGCAAGCTCATAGAGTGAGCCCTATACTGATCCCCGTGTCCTTTTCCCTTTTTATTCTAAGTCATCAAGAGACCGCTCTAGCGAAGGCTAGCGAGCATAAAACGGTCCCTATGAGATATCCATCCTAGTCACGATGGACGTATTTGCCGAATTGACACATCTGAAGGAATTAATGTTGGGCTTATTAAATCCTTAGTAATTCATGCGCTGATTGGTCATTGGGAGTCTCTAGAAAGCCTTTTTTATAAAATTTCTGAGAGATCAAAAGAGGTACGGATGCTTTACTGATCACCCCATAGATATGAATACTATATGGTAGTAGTCGAAAATTTTTTGGCCTTGAATCAGGGTATTCTGGAAGAACAGGTTGATCCAACTCGATATTGTCAAGAATTACTAACTATTGCATGGGAACAAGTTGATTCAACTCGATATCGTCAAGAATTCTTAACTATTGCATGGGAACAGATTCATCTTCAAAGTCTTTTTCCCTTACAATATATAACTTCATAATTTGTTAGTATAGTTTGTCAATTATTTGTTTTATGAAGTTAATAATATTGGTCCATTTGTCCTTTTGAGCACTAAAGGGTGTTGCTTTAAGAGGGGGTTCAATTGTGACTTAAATTATGTTTTCCAAGCACAAAAATAGTTTAGAATTTTTTTTTTTGAAAATCACCTAGGAGTCATAATTAGAGCGTTTCTAATTCTATTTTCATCCTAATCATCCTAATTTAAAATAACTATTGGTTCATCTTAGGTGTCTAGTTAATTATCCTAAGTTAAAATAACTAAGGGATCATAGGTGTTTAGGTTATTATCGTTGTCCTAAGCATAAAGGTGCATACGAAGGTTGAATGATATAGCTTTGATGAATGATCTCCTCTTTCAATGTCGCTTTTGGATCTTGAAGTTGATGACATCATAACCATCATAATGGTTGAGATTTTATAACGGACTCCATGAAATTAGTCAATTATAAAATATGATCTAACAATCTCCCATTTTGTCAATTTCGTGACAAAATACGCAAGTTTGAAATAATGATTACAACTCCAAACTATTGAACAAAAGAATTATAAATCTAATATCAACATTCATGCATATGTACAAAATCTCTATTTTGTATAAGGATCTATATCTTTGAATGAAGTTTGAAGATCATAGTCCTGCACATCATCATTCAAACCAAAATATCGTGAAATGCTTTATATGTTAGAAATAAATCGCATAGTCACAGGTATGAAAAACACCAAGAGAAGCATAAGACATAATTATGTATACATCATGCACGTGCAAATATGTAACATGTTTAAACTAAATTGCCTCATATACTTGAGAATCAATTGATTTATCAATGCAAAACATATCTAGTTGATGTACGATAGAAGAACAAATAAGAGTATATAAAGTAGAAGCGATATCAAACCCTTGCAAGGATTAGGTTAAGAAATACACTAAATTCTCCACAGTGGATCAAGTTTTTATTATATTACTCTCTAGTAAAATAATAGAGATTACATAGATATTTATAGGCCAAGGTCCCTATCAAAATAAAAACTATTCTTCTATTAAAATTCTAAAAGAGTTTCATAATAAAACTCAAAATCCTATATTACTAAAATTCTAAAATAATTTCCTAATCAAACTCTCACTAATACTCTGAGTCAAACATATACTAAATTAAATAATAATACCACCAATTCTAATAAACTACCAATTGCACTTTCCTTTGGACAAAAGATTTTTAGTTTTTCGCTTAGGCTTCCAAAGTTGATTATATTAGTCCAACCAACCAATGGCTATGTCATCAATTCTTCCTTGCTAAAAAGAACTCGATTTCGATGAGTAAGGTGGAGGGCCAACAAAACTATCTGATGTAGAAGCTCTCTAAATCAATAACGAACTCCTTTTTAATTGTAGTGTACACACATTTGTAGCACAAGTAAGAGTATACTTCTTTCTCCCAATTGTAAATGAATAAATATTAGCACGCCCTGCATGTTGTACATCATGATCCCATAGCTAGGTGCACTATAAAAAGTATGTGACAAAACTTGAGAGGCAACACATTGCACATGACGATCTCCTTAAGGCTTCTGATGGTGAATGTAACTGGACATCTCTTATTAAATTTTAACTTGGTATTAATAATCCATGCCACATGATATGACTTCGAATGTGGTTCAACTTTCAAATTCAATTTCTTCATAACCTTTTTTGATATCACATTTGTGCAATTTTTTGTGTCACTTACTAATGAGCATATTAGTCCGTCACAACCAACTCTTTTTTGAAAGATTTTTCGTCGATAAATAAATTCATCATTAGCAACTTCTTTATTAGCAATAAGTAGAGGACGGATAACACTCAAAAAATAATCATCATCCAAATCATTAAAATTAACCTCACCCACATCAAGAGATTCTATAATCTCTATTTCAAATTTTGGCTCATTAGAATTAGTATGCACCTTGTAATTTCCTTTTCAACCACAACAACTGATTTGGAAGGGCATTGAAAAGAGAGATGACAAAAACCATGACAATTAAAACATCTTGTCTTAGAATTATTACTCTCTTGAGAAAAAGATTAGTACTAGCCATAAATGGTTTGTTTGAAGTAAAAGTATTTTCTTGGGGTTTATTGGTGGACTTACCTTGGCTTGCATCTACAATAATTCTCTCAATCCGGGTTGGAGGTGGCATAGAAGATCTCTTTTCAACTTATCTTCCATCTGATAGGCAAGTTGAACTGCATCTGCCATGGTGTAATTTCTACTTGCAACGTGTGGAAGTCTGAGAATTGAGTCCTTGCCTATACATGATAATCATTACATCCTCAATCCATGGAAACTTTGATCGGGTGGCTAAGTTGTAGAACTTTCCTGTGTATTCCTCAACNGTGGAAGTCTGAGAATTGAGTCCTTGCCTATACATGATAATCATTACATCCTCAATCAATGGAAACTTTGATCGGGTGGCTAAGTTGTAGAACTTTCCTGTGTATTCCTCAATAGACATGCTTCTCTGATTCAACTGTGTGAATTATAGAAGAGCTTCCTCTCATCGGTCAAACGATGTCATCTGAAGAAGCTTTCAACGCTATGCAATCAATCAAGGAATATATCGGGAGTATTATCCC